TTGTTTTTTCTTTCTAATAAAGTGGTGGGGGGGGGGGGGTTCAGGGGATTTGTGTTTGCCATAATTACCCTCTTTGTACTGTGCTGGCAGATTTCATTATCAGTTGTTAACTAGATGTGCAGGACTGTCTGTCCTAATAAAGATTAAGAACCAAGACTTGAGTGGTACATTGTATGTTGATTGCACTCTCTGAGTCTGGTCCCTTCAGTCTGTCCCTTATCCCCACATTGCCATGACCATGTCTAGCCCTTTGTCAACCTAACTGAGTATGTTTCTGACTTGACAAAGGGGTATACATAGTCTCTAAAGCTGCTATGTGAAATGGGAGCTTGACTGTTTTATACTGCTTATGCAATAAAGTGAAAGAGCTTTTAATACAGACAAAGACTTGTGTAAGGATGCACTACTTTGCTATGCTCGAAGATCCTCTGGCACCATGTATGCTCCTAAGTACAAGTTCTGGTTAACCTCTGTACACTGTGGTTCCATCCACAAAACCCAGATCTCTACAGGAAACAGTAGTGATGTAGGGGTAGGTGTATGGAACAACAGCATGCAACAAGACACCAAGCATCCGACACACCCAGATGCTGGGAAGCAGAAGATTTTTTGGCAGCAGCAAAGTTTAAGGAAATGTGGCGCAGGCGCAGGACAGATAAGTATTAACTCCTTCTTTTGCTGGGATTGACTATTTTTAGTGACAGGGTCGATTTAACGAAATATTTAATAATATATTCAATCACATTCTATTAAATATTTAATAATAAATATTATTTTTTTCTGTATTTTGCAAACTTGAAAATAACATAAAACAATATTCATTTTCAGTTAGTATTACTTTTGTTTTTCCTTTAATTGAGGACTTAAAATACACTTCTGCCACAACAATTATTATCATTTAATATGTAAATATCAGAACTGTAATCTAGCCATTAATTCCTGAGAGTGAAGAGATAAATAGAAAATATTTTACTGCATTAAATAGTAATAAAATCATTTTTCTGCTCCCTTGGTGTTGTAATGCACCTGCTTTGCAATACTACACAAGTTTTACAACATTCCTGGGCTTTCTCCCAAAAACATGTTGTGAATCGCTGCACTTAATTAGATACTTATACCCTGTTCATATGGTCCCAGGAGCTGCAACTTTGTGAAGAGATGTCGATCTTGCTTCACACATTTCTTTCTTAGGAATGGGTTCTGGGCCAGAATATAAACTACTAGCTAAAGAATTGTAAATTCTCAATCCAAGATTAATAATTTACTTGTTATATCAGGTGTTTTATGCTATTTGTAGATTGTACTGCAAGGAGGAATGTTTTGTTATTCCCAATGTGCTGTAGCATGAAAGCGGCACAAATTTAAAATATACCTTTTTTTCTATCATTTTACTGTTCAGCGATTGATCCATTTCCATTTAACAATGCAGGACTCAGCAAACGAGCCACCAAATGCTTATTCTTCATGAAATATTCTGCTTCAATGTAGATGTAACCAAATGTAACAATGTAAGGCTGTTGGCTAATCCTGCAGATTTTGACCAGATTGGGCAATGTTTTTCTTACATATTGTAAGAACAGGAAGCCACAGACATCCTTGGTTGACTGTTTTTTATTTTAATTCCCAGTGTAGGAATTAGTGACAGGAATGGTTGGATTTTTTATTGCTAATGTTTTACCCTGACATTAAAAAGTTTTCAAGGAATATAGCTGCCCCCCCTCCCGCCCACGCCTCCATGGATGTTAACATGATATATCTTATTCATATCGTTTTATATAATGTTCTTATTATAAGTGGATCCTATAATTGTGTAGACCATGATATCAAATATCTAACCTTTTTTTATTTAATGCGGTAGTGCCTAAATCAACAATACCGCTGCTTCTCATATGCTTAAAGTGTATTTCCACTTGCAGCCAAATTGGGATAACACCTGTTTTATATGTGTTACATGTTTCCATTTGCATAGCATAAGATAAACAAATATTTAAAAAATGCTTCTTGAAGTTTAAATTGATTTTACTTGGGCTAGAGTTCTTAAGGGTTAAAATTTCTATTTGCTTTTCGCTCTATTGTAATGTTAGGAGGGGTTGTGAGGAGTGAAGAGCTTATTCAATGTATTTTAATGGAGTTAATGAGAGAAACATAATCCTCAAGTTTCAACCCTAAGTCTTTTTATTAGGACAAATCACTGTGAAGGTGTTGAGAAAAACCTGGAATTAGCCATCTTGCCTGCTGCAACACAACATCTAAGCAATATTTTTTTTTAAATTATTTTCAGTATGCTGTATGAATAGATACACATATCAAACATAGTGGTGTTTTCTCAAATTTGACTCCAAAAAAAGAAATACAGTGGTACCAGTGGTATCAAACTGTGGTCAGCACGTGATCTCGACTAGAGGAAGCCACGGCCATGTGTCAGAGCAGGGAAGATCGTCCAAGTACCTGTAGCACTCCTTATCAGAACTCCCATATGTATTAGTGGGTGCTTGCAATGACTGCGGATGGCGCCGCACTCAGCATAGTCTTGTGTAAAAACATCACCAGCACGACAGAGACTTGAATGTCAGTGCAAATCCATTTATTGATGTCAGTCGTCACTCAGAGTGTCATCAAGCGCTTTTCGGGCCACGCAGGGCCCCCTTCATCAGGCTCAGAGTAAAACATGCTTTTACTCTGAGCCTGATGAAGTAAAACATGCTTTTACTCTGAGCCTGATGAAGGGGACCATGTGTGGCCCCAAAAGCGCTTGATGACACTCTGATTGACGACTGACATCAATAAATGGGTTTGCACTGACATTCAAGTCTCTGTCGTGCTGGTGACGTTTTTACACAAGAGCAGGGAAGATGGCTGCGGTTGTGTTCGTCACCCCATGCGGAGTTCGCGAATGGAAGCAAAATTTTGCTGGACTTCCTGTTTGCGAACCGAATTGTTCATGAACAGAAGCGTTCGTGAACCAAGGTACCACTGTACACTTTTGCAGTCAGATTTGAGAAAACATCACCATAGGTTTGTTATGTGTTCCCACTCACACAGCAGACCTCAAAATCCTTTTTAAGAAAATATTCATTACCTTTCAGATGACTTTATTGACCCTTTGGGTAGATGGCAAGTTTCCCTCTACATTTTGAAAGTGAACTGGCTGTCTCCATAGAAAGAGCTTCTTTCCATTCACGTACAATCTAGATCTTTAACCCTTTGTTAGGACAGGCAGTGATCAAATCTAGTTTACAACTGACAATGAGATCTGCCAGCACAGTACAGACAGGGTTAATTATCGTAACGTCCCCAGACCCCTTGTATTCCAGAGGTTCAGTTTAGCAAAAACTATTAATATCAGAAAACAAGTATTATGTAAGCAGCAATTTTTATTTC